AGCAGTTGTTTGGTTCAAGATCTCCTGTGCTTGCAGTCTGTGCTCATTGTTACTCCTTGGAGGGCATGGTTCAAAGCCCGAAAAATCAATTTTGGTACCAACTGAGCCAGGGAAAAATTTCTTGCATTTTGAACAGCCTATATTTGATCCATGGCCAGTAAATCCACAAACCTTTCTCACTGCTGGGATGTCGCAGCCAACACAAAGAAGAGCAGCATGGAATTTGGCATTTGTAGTTGACCCATGTGCCTTGACACTTATGCCATCTTTCCACAGCACATTCAGTTCAGCTACGAGGGGCTGTAAGTATGAATTAATGTTGTGTTTTGGTTCGTGGGGCCACACCAACTAAGAAAACATTTTCTGGTTTGAACCTCTCAGCCCTGGGGAGGTTCATCAGAACCATATAGAGCACTCCAACACTATACACTGAATGCTTGAAAGACTGGAACCAGTCAACATTGAGCATAAATGCATAGTTCCTCTGTGCTGCAAAAAATGCCTTCCCATCCAGGTTCTGCCATTCCTTCCAGATACGTCCATCAAAGATATCTGCAAGGAATCCATCAGGGATACCCCTGCTTCGCCATAATTCACATTTATCGACAAATCCTGGCCTTTGAAGGAATTGACAGAGATTGTCAATGATGCTGTTATAACAGTACACTTTGTGTGGGTAAAGCTTAGTCCCCCCACTCTTTAAGGAAACTTCTTTTAAAAGTGGTTCACCACACTTGGTACAGCGGAAATGTTGCCGATGGTTTGGAAACTGAACAAAAGTACACTTCTTGGTGACTTTTCGACCGCAAACCAGTTCATAGCAGTCATCAAAATTGTTCAAAGTGTGACACTTTGGGCATACAATGTATTTAATAAATCTGTCTTTGTCCAGTCCCAGTTGCTTGGGTAGTAAGTGGACTGACTTTGGGAACAGCACAGCAAAACTTGCAACAACTGGAAAGACTGTACCCACGGAATCAAACATTGCCCTCCAAAAAGTAAGAAGTGTTTCCAATGCATTGTCAGATAATGAAGAAAATGAAGACCAAAGGCACAGGAAAATCAGCAACCAACAAAGAAGATGCTTGAAACTTCCATTTATTCTGGATGTGTTGTTAACATCC